CTGACACATCAGCCGAGCCGTCTGAGAAAAAATCGGCCGACGAAATTTGGCGCGCCACCGTTCCCAGTGCCGGCGACCTCTGAAATCTGGTTGTGGCGGCGCCCAACAGGTCGTCGCGCGGCCCAGGTGGGGTGGGGGGAGGCAAAACCACTACAATCAGCCCGTATGTCAAGGACGCACGACAAGGATGCAAGGGCCTCGGAGGCCCTGTCGACACGTTGCAAGCGGAGCGCGGCCAGCGAAAGCGGCCAAGGATGTGCCGAATGGGAAGGATGCAAGGGGGACCTTGGAGGGGAGGAGGGAGGAGGAGGAGGAGGAGGTAGGGAGGCAGGAGGAGGAGCGAGGAGGAGGAAGAGGAGGAGGAGGAGGAGGAGGAAGCGGAGGAGCAGGAGGATGGGGAGGAGGAGGAGGAGGAGGAGGAGGAGGAGGAAGGAGAACGAGGAGGAGGAGGAGGAGGAGGAGGAGGGAGGAGGAGGAGGAGGAAGGGAGCAGAGAGGGGGGGGAGCAGGATGAGGAGAAGAGGAGGAGGAGGACGGGGGGAGGAGGAGAAGGAGGAGGAGGAGGAGGAGGAGGAGGGGGAGGAGAAGGAGGGAGGAGGAGGCGGAGGAGGAGGAGAGGAGGAGGAGGATGGGGAGGAGGAGGAGGGGGGAGGAGGAGGATGAGGAGGAGCAGGAGGAGAAGAAGAAGAGGGGAGGAGGGGGAGGGGGAGGAGGAGGAGGAGTAGGAGGAGGAGGCGGAGGAGGAGGAGGAGGAGGGGGAGGAGGAGAAGGAGGAGGGAGGAGGAGGGAGGAGGAGGAGGAGGAGGAGGGGAAAACTCGCTCGCCCTTGCTACGCGGGTTGCTTGATGGGCGGCGGTGGCCCGACGGCGGTGTCCCTGCCCCGAACCCTGGGCGCGCCCACGACCGAGGCGCAGACCTGTTGTGCATTCCTGTGAGAGCCGCGCCCCCGCTGCCGATGACCGCGCAATTCTGGTTTCCCCGACCTACCTCAACAATCTACAACCTGGCCGCTGAAGAAGGAATCCTTTTCGTTGGGGATAGCCCAGTGCTTTTTGATTGCTGTACTGTGTGTCTTTGGTGTCCCTTGGGTCTTTTATGGAGCATCGAAGTGTGACTTTGGACAAAGTGGGGCCTCGTTCCTTATTTAGGGGTCCTTATGGCCGAATGCCCCATGACAGCGTGTCGACTGTAATTGAGCGCCAGCGTCTCCCTTGAGTTCCTCGCACCCGCGACTTTCCTCTCGGCTACTCATGCGGATGCGCGCGCAGCGCTCATCAAAACGGCGCTGTACAGTTGTCCCTGGAACTCTCTCAAGATCTTTGGTCCTGTGCTTGTCTGCACCTCCGCCTCGTCCTCCTCCTCCTCCTCCTCCTCATCCTCCTCCTCCTCCTCCTCATCCTCCTCCTCCTCCTCCTCCTCCTCCTCCTCCTCCTCCTCCTCCTCCTCCTCTGCTCCTGAAACTGCGTCTGAAGCACTTTTTATCGACAGAGGCGGGTGAAGGAGATCAGCTCCTCTGGCAAGCGCAAGCAATGCGACCCCCTGCTTACATGTACATCGCCCTGCATTACGTCACTCCTAACCATCCTCCTCTCCTCCTCTGTATCCTCCCGCGCGTGTGCGCACGATCGGGAGGGGCTAGAAGAGGAGGGCGACGACTGTGATGCAGGAGGATGGAGCAGGAAGGATGCGGAGGGAGCTGGAAAAAGAAGAAGAGAGGAGGAGGAGGAGGAGAATGAGGAGGATGAGGAGGAGGAGGAGGAGGAGGAGGAGAGGAGGAGGAGGAGGAGGAGGGGAGGAGCGAGAGGAGGGAGGAAGAGAGAGGAGGAGGGACGGCGAGGAGGGATGAGGGGGAGGAGGAAGGAGGAGGGGCAGGACAAGGACGACACCGACCAGGAGGGAGGATGAGAGACGAAGGAGGAGGGAGGAGGGAGAGTGCAGGAGGAGGAGGAGCAGGAGGAGGAGGAGGAGGAGGAGGAGGAGGGGGAAGAGGACAAGGACCCGTCCTCCCTCCTACCAGGCCGCCCTGGAATGCCTTTTGACAAGGACTTCGTCGCGAATCTAACTGCAACGACGAGACCCCCCCCCGCAAACAAACGTTCCCCTCCCACCATTATGTTCCTCCTCTCTCTTCTTTTGCTCCTGCGCCTCCACCATCCATGTTTTCCTTTCCCGTCCTGTGGGTCCTCCCTCTCCCTCCTCCGTCTTTGTGGGAGTCCTCCTCCTCCTCCTCCTCCTCCTCCTCCTCATCCCCCTCATCCCCCTCATCCTCCCCCTTCCTTCTCCTCCTTATCCTCCTCCTCCTCCTCCTCGTCCTTCTCCTCTGCCCTCTCCTCCTCGCCTATTCCTCCCTGCTCCCCGTCCATCCTCCTCGCGCCTATCGTCCTCATCCCCTCTTCATCTCCTCTTTCCTTTGTCCTTCCTCCCCCCCTTCCCTTCCTTTCCCTCCTTTCTCTCCTTCCTCCTCCTCCTCCTCCTCCTCCTCCTCCTCCTCCTCCTCCTCCTCTTCCTCCTCCTCCCCCTCCCTCCTCCTCCTCCTCCTCCTCCTCCTCCTCCTCCTCCTCCTCTTTGTCCTCCTCCTCCTCCTCCTCCTCCTCCTCCTCCTCCTCCTCCTCCATCTCCTCCTCCTCGTCCTCCTCCTCCTCCTCTTCCTCCTCCTCCTCCTCCTCCCCCTCCTCCCTTGAAACTCCCCGCCTCCCCAGAGGAACCCCTCCCTGGAGGAGGCCGCCTCCACGGCGGACGGGCGGCCCTGGGGCGCCGCGCACAGCAGCAGTGAGACGAGGTGTCGCGCCTCGAGGGGGAAGCCACGCGCGGCCCTCCCCCGGAGAGGAGGAGGAGGAGGAGGAGGAGGAGGAGAAGGAGGAGGAGGAGAAGGAGGAGGAGGAGGAGGAGGGGGAGGAGGAGGAGGAGGAGCAGGAGCAGGAGGAGGAGGAGGAGGAGGAGGAGGAGGAGGAGGAGGGGAGCAAGGACAAGGTGCCAACAAGTGGAGCATCGAGTGAGGGGGCAGAGGAGGAGGAGGAGAAAGAGGAGGACTTGAGGCAATATGGCTTCGGGGGGCCTTAGCCCAGTTAGTGGGCCCACTTAAGTCACCACCCTGTAGGGCACAGTGGCCCGTTGGTGCATATGGCCTGGGGGGCATTTGGGTCCAGGCCGCACGTGGTGAGCCAACGAATCAAGAGAGCCTAGGTGCCGTGGCCCAGGCAATGCAGCTCCAGCGTGGACATGCATTCAAATTATCTTCTCTTGTTTGAGTGCTGCGCCGTCCGGTCGTAAGGCAAGTAAGAGAACACGACACGCATTAGTGCACTGCGTCAAGGAGTGCGGCGTGAGGGTATGCAGGGCCGCTGGTCTTGCCGCCGAGCTGTGTCCTTGAGGCCACAACCTCGCGATGTGGGTGGGCGTGCATAAGCCGCGTAAAATCGCGGATGCACAATGGCTGGCACTGCCGCCAGCCAGCGTCCACAAGGGGACGACCCTTGGTAGCGGTTCGACGTGAGAATACGCAAGACCCTCGGCCTTGCCGCCGGGAAACGTCCTTGAGGCATCTGCCCCGCGACGGGAGCAAGCGCGCAGAATCGGCGAATGCTCGCACACTAGCACTGCCCCCAGCAGGCCCCACAGGAAACGAAGTGTGAGAACCAGGAGGGAGATGTGAGTGTGCAGGACCGCTGGCCTGTTTTTGGTGCCACGCGCGGCCCAGGACCAACATATGACAAAATTGCCCCCTTCCCCCCCTCCCCGGTGGATACCGTGAAGGGCTCGTAGCTGATACTGCTGGACACCGCCGCAGTGATCAAACCATATGCGGTAGCCGCCCTGGTAGTGCTCGGCGCATGTGCAATTTGCGATGGGGGCAGGAGTTGTCCCCCTGGGGGGTCGGGTGCCGAGCTGTTGGCGGGACTTACAAACGCTATTGCCGATATGATAGTGCGGGTGGGAGTGGGAGAAAAGCGGGTGGCAGTAGCGATGGTGATGGTGCCGGTGCTGATTATGGTGGAGGTCAGTGCTGCTATTGGCGCTTATGTCGATGCTGGACCGCCCGAGGCGCTGGAACCTGGACAGGCGACGTTGCTGGCGTCGACGGTGGTGTCGATGATGGGGTAGATGCTGGCGTCGGTGAAGGCGTAGGTGGTGGTGTCAACGGTCGCGGAAGCGGAACCATGACCAATGTCACGGAGACGGCGCCCGATGTCAAACGTCACGTAGATGGTGCACTCACCCATGAATAACTGTACAGGACCGCCGACCTTGCCGCCAGGCTGTGTCTTTGAGGCAACAGCGCGCAGCGAAAATAACACACAGAATCTGCGGATGCACGATAGCCGGCACTGCCGCCGTACAGCGTTCAATGGGAGACGAACATTACTAGCGGTTCGATGTGAGTGGGCACGACCGCCAGCCATGCCGCCAGGCAACGTCCTTGAGGCATCTGCCTCGCGACGGGGGCAAGCGGGCAGAATCTGCAGATGCACGCCATCTGGCACTGCCGCCAGGTAGCGCCCAAAGGAAACGAACTTTGAACTCAAAGGTAAAATGGGCGCTCAGGACCACCAGCCTTGCCGCCAGGATGTGTGTTTTGAGACGACTACCTTGCAGAATCTGCGGATGCGCAGAAAGCGGCATTGCCTCCACAGCGAAAGAGGAGACAAGCCGTGGCAAAAAGGGCGGCACAAGTGTGCGCAAGACCGCCGGCCTTGCCGCCGGCCTGTGTCCTTGAGGCAACCGCCTCTCACTGCCGCCAGCCAGCCCCCATCAGGAAAAAATAAGCGGTGACTGGAGAGACGTGAGAACGTGCAGGACCGCCGGCCTTGCCGCCGGGCTGTGTCCTTGAGGCAGCTGTCTCGCGACGGGGGAGGAGGAGGAGGAGGAGGAGGAGGAGGAGGAGGAGGAGGAGGAGGAGGAGAAGGAGGAGAAAGAGGAGGAGGAGTAGGAGGATGAGGAGGAGCGCCCGTAGCAGAGAGGGGCGTCAGAAATAGCGCCTCGGGCCGCCGCGGGCGGGGCCGCTCAGAGGCTGCTGCGCAGAGCGAAGTTGCACTTAGGAGGCCGCCGCTGCGCCAGCCGCCATATCGCCGCCAGGGCCCTGGTGAGACGGGCGGCTCGCGCTGGGCCTGGTGACCTGCCCGTGCTGCCAGGCCACCTGCGTAGGTCAGCGGCCCTGGCGGCTGAGATTCCTAGGGGCCGCCCCGCCGGGTACGCGGGGCACACCTTTGCGCGCTGGGCCGCGGCGCGGGCCAGGGCCTGGGCCACTTCTGGGGGCGGCTGGACCGGGCCAGGCCGGTGGCGGAGCAGGTTATGCGTGTGGTGCAGCGTGGCGTGGCGAGCTCGCCCTGCGGCTCGTCGTCGTAGTCCGCTGTTGCGCCGAGGCCCAGGTGGTGCAGGGGGCACGCGTGCGCGTTGGAGCGAGAGGCCACGCAGGCACTCCACCAGTCGGCTACACGCAAGAGTGGCCCTGTGTATGAGCTTTTCCCCCACGGAGGCAGTTCCATCAGCATGGTGCTAGCTCACGCGCGTGCCGTTCGCATCATGAGCAGAGTGAAGAGAGATCGCGATGAAGATCCACAGCCCCAATTCAGAAGGGGTGAATGCCGATGATGCACATGAGGAGTCAACGCGATGCCAGAAGACAAAAGCACCAGTCACGAGAGGGGGAAAGAGGAGGACCCAAGAACGAGGGGAGAACGGATGCATGGATTAAGCCGTTGTGAGTGCATTTCCCCATGCTCCGAACGATGATTCATACAAACGGGCATCTGACAACAACAAACAAGGACCGCAACGCAACACAGTGACACGAGGTCGGAGCATATCCCAAATTCCTGACATTCCACTATTGGAGGCCTGGAAATAGGCACCAACACCAAGACAGGGGGCTGCCTCCACAGGGGAGAGATGATCCTAGATTTCGGTGTTGGTGGTAATATTTCGGTCACCTTGAAGCCATAATATTACCACCATCACCGAGATCGGGATCTCCTTTCCTCGGTGGAGGAGCACCGCCGATATTGGTGTTGGTGTCAACCTCTAGGCCTGCGACACTAGAAATATGACTGGGCGATAAAATCCAGTCAGTTCCGTGGCTGGTGGCCAAGCTCAGGTACAATGCTAAAATCCGCGAAGCACCGCGCAAACCTACACGCCCCCGAGTTACAGGAAAGAAAATGCAAGTGGATCTCCTGAAAAAGAGAAGCGCCAAATCCAAGCGGAAAGAAACCGGGCGAGAATCGCACAGCAAAAACAAGGAAACGACATAACTGAGTTGAGTGGTTCCGGAATGGCCGCCAGGAGACACGCAGGCGAAGTGATCCTGAGAAAGAGTGGCCTTTGGTGCGCGGCTTTTTGGGGGCCGCGGGGGGACCAACCTCGAGCGCGCAAGACGCTACTACCGCATCGCGTTCGGCGATCGGGGGACCCAAGCGGGCCCGCACCAAGGTCACTCCGGCGAAAGGTCACTCTTACTGAGATGACCGCGGGGGTTGCTGAGTGGATATGGGCTTAGAAGTGGATGCTGAGGGTTGTTTTAGCTGGCCCTACGTAGCTAGATAACTCCGCCAAGTGCTCTGCACCCAGCACCAGTGGGCGGCACCCACTCCTAAACCACTTGGGGCACCTGTTACCCACTTATCAAGTAGGTTCGGCCAGCTAGAACCACCTCAGCATCAGCTTCTAAGCCCCCCGTACCCTGAGCAGTCGCAACGGTCATCTCAGTACGTGTAATCGAGGAAGCGGGGGTAGGGGCGGCGGCCCGGCCGGAGCCGGGGCCCCGAGATCGCCGGGACCTTGTACGTGTAGTCGAACCAGGCGCCTCGGCACTCCAGGCGGTGCGAGACCTGGCCAGCGCCGCCTTCGCAGCACCACCGGCACAGCGGGCGAAGGTGTCCCACGCGCCTGCGGGGGTGCGGATGGCCGCTCAGCCGGTGCCCTGGGGCAGCAGCTGCCAGCTTGGCTCCTCGAGGTGTAGCCAACTCTGGCGGAGGTCTTGTGGTATCGCCAGGTAAGACGGAGCCAGGCCGAGGATACAATTGGGCAAGGACAAATCGAGCATCTCTGAGATCTGGCGGATCTGGAGGATGCCTCGGGCGCCGCGGCCTTCTCAGAGCGTTCCCGAACGCTCTGAGAGCATTCCGGAGCGCTCTGGAACGGACTTCTCCTTGCCCTAGCCCCGTCCGACCAAGTCAGGCCACCAGGAGTTGAGTCGACGGATCGTGCGGTGAAGGTTCTCCGGGAAGAGTGCCTGAGCGGCGTCTGCCGCGCGCGTCCGCTGCAGGCGGGGTCTGCGCGTAACGGCCGCGGCCGCGTGCAGCCCTCGGCGCGCTGCTGCGTTGGCCGCTTGCAAGACCTGCCGTCGGCGCCGCTGCAGGCGCTCGCCATGGGCGTTGACTGTGGCGGCGTCGACGGCCATAAGGCATCGCAGCATGGACTCCGTCTGCTCCCATAGCGACGCGGCCCATTGGTCCGATGCGACAACGCTAGTGGGGAGGAAATCCATTGCGCGCTCGCGCCACGCGTCCGCAAAGACCCTCAAGCCCGCGAGCGCGACGTTGGCTGCGTCCTTTGCGGCGACCCAGGCAGCAAGTCGCATCGCAGCGAGGGCGGGGCCGGGCGCCCACGTGCCCGTGCTGATCAAGTCGGCAAGCGCGAACGAGTTCGGCGGGACCTTCAGGATGCGGTGCTGCGGTGCAACGCGCCGAGCTCACCCTGGAAGAGGGCCTCTGGCAGTGGCAGCAACTGTGCAAGGCACGTGAGGACAGATAAGGTAGAGCCGTTGTATAGCCAGGAGGAGGGGAGGAGGAGGAGGAGGAGGAGGAGGAGGAGGAGGAGGAGGAGGAGGAGGAGGAGGAGAAGGAGGAGTAGGAGTAGGAGTAGGAGTAGGAGGAGGAGGAGTAGGAGGAGGAGGAGGAGGAGGAGGAGGAGTGTGCCGCCCCTGGCGCGCTCCGTGCGCCAGGGAGGTGGTCAGGCGCCGATCTTAGAAATCCGCGCGGATCTCAATGTCTGTTGCGGCAGCTACAACACATTCTGCAGAATCTCTGGCAGACCTGGTTATGGCATATAATCGCACGTTGATGGTCACTTCGCAGCCTGCGGGGGGGGGGGAGGGGGGGCGGGGAACGAAGGGGAGCGGGCGGAGGAAGAGGAAAAGAGGGGAAGGAGGGGACGGCAAGGAGGGAGGACAATGACGAGGAGGAGGAGGAGGAGGCCAGAGTAAAACGAAGTTCTGTGGGGGGCGACTCGATGGTACTGTTGGCCACCTCCTGGGAAACTCCCAGAACCCCGCACTGGACCCCAACAGAACCCCTCCACATGCCGCACCCTCCCGACACCCCCATGGCCCGCGATTTTGGCTGGACTTCCTCTGGGCCACAAGAGCCGCGTCCCCCTCCCCCCTGTCCGGAACCTGCAAGTGACCTGCCAGCCAGTGTCTTGTCAGTGTCCTGCCATCGACCTGCTAGTGACCTATGAGGTGGCCTGTCAGTGACCAGTAAGGGACCTGTCAGCGACCTGTCAGTGACCAGCCAGTGGACCTGCCAGTAGACCTGTGTGCGACTTGTCAGTGGACCTGTCAGTGTACCAGCCAGTGGGCCTGCCAATCGACCTAACAGCGCCTTGTCATTGGACCTTGAACTGCGAAAGGACATGTTAAGGACCTGCCAATGGCCTGTCATTTGGGACGGTCAACGTATGGCAAAGGGGTAGGACCGTAGGTTGTGGTCCCACCACCGCGCCGTGATTTGACCCTTCCACATCGACAGGCCACTAGAAGGTCACTGACAGGTCCCCTGGCACAACGCTGACAGGTCATTGAAAGGTCATAAGCATGTCCATTGACAGGTCAGTTACAGGTCGCTGACAGGATCCTAAGAAGTCACTGACAGGTTCACTGACAAATCCACTGACAGTACACCGACAAGCCACTGACATGCGGGGTCAACTGACATGTCACTGACAACAGGTCCACTGACAGGTCCACTGACAGGTCACTGACGGGTCACTGACAGGTCCACTAACAGGTCGCTGACACGTCACTGACAGGCCCTGGCAGGCCACGGACAGGCCGGTGACAGATCACTGACAAGTGACTGACAAGTCAATTTGAAGTCTATCCGTGTAACGATTGCAGAATGTTGCACTGCGTGCCATTTCGCACGGAATCTCAAGCGAGAGCCCCATTTTGAGAACGTGATGGACTTCTTCTGTGCAGCTCTTTGCACTTTTGTGGGAACAATCCTCGCGTCGCCAATGCGGGAAGAACCTTCTTGAAAACCGCCAGCCTTCAACCCGCGCGCGGCGCTGCGGCTAAAACCACATGTCGAAAACCAACTGCCCTCCATCCGTGTGATCGTTGGATCCTTTACACTTCGGGATCGTACATGGTGAGGTCTCCCGCGAAACGCCGGTTTTTGCGGCAACTCATGGGAGCCTACCATACCATCATGTCGGCTCTTGCGAATCGACGCTGGTCAACGCTAAATCGACGCAAGTCGACGCTACATTAGCGCTACTACCAGACGCTAATCGACGCCATTGCGCTCGAAAGCTGAACAGGGACCGACCGCCCCCGCATTCCTGTAGGCTTACCACGAAACTGTTTTAGCACCCGAAAATGTTGCAATAACAAAAATTATCCCAGTGCGACCCTACCTAGGAGTTGGAGCCTGTAGGAAAGCAGCATTAGTAGGAGCGGTAAACGCCGTCCTCCTGGGTGTTATGTATGTATGCATGGGTGTAATGGGTGTTCCACATGCAGCATTACACATGGCTGTTATGTATATATATACACATATACTTGCATATATAGAAAGACATCTAAGACATGCGATAATACGTCGGGTTGCATGTCTCCCGGCCGGTGCTATGTGCGAAACCTTCGTGAATCCTAAGGGCTCAAGCTGCCCCACGAAGCGCTCAAGATGGCCCACAGACGGACAACATGCATGGAACATACGTGCGCACACACACACACACATATAAGTACATCAGTATATAACAACAGCAATAGTGGATGCTGTGCTGCGCTATGCTATGCTATGCTATGCTATGCTATGCTATGCTATGCTATGCTATGATATGCTGCGCAATGCTTTGCTGGGCTAGGCTAGGCTAGGCTAGGCTAGGCTATGCTATGCTGCACTATGCTATGCTATGCTATGCTATGCTATGCTATGCTGTTGCGTTGCCTTCGTGTTTGCCTTCACTTTTGCATTTGCTTTTGCTGTTGTTTGGCACCCAGGGGGCGCAACTGGGGGAACCGCGCGTGTGCTTTTACCTTTGCTGTTGCTTTTGCTTGGCCCCCAGGGGACTGGGGGAACCGCCCGGGGCGCTTTACACTGCCCGGCCCCTTTAAGCAAAGAGAGTAAGAACCCTTCTAGGCAGAGCCTAGGTAGGGAAAAAAGGTTCTTAGAACATAAATCCAATGTGTTAAAACAAGACAGTCCCAGCCAGAAATGTTCTAACTGCATTTCGTGGAAAATGCAAAAGGCTATTCGAGCATTGTTTGATAGGCCTATAGGCACACCGGGACGCTTCGACACTGCTTGAGAAAGACGGAATCCCACCAGCCCTTCTGGCTAAGGTGGTCTAGCGATATCGTTCTCTCTGCTTCCAAAAACATGTTCCTTTGCGGGAGGATTACTCCGCCCATGTTTTTGTTGGGGGGAGAGGGCCGCGGAGTGTCAGAGCTTCTCAGATGGCCTCGGCGAGAATGTCCAAATCACTGATTTGGGTGATTTTGATGGCCCTTGGGGTGGCAAACTTAAGACACCCTCCGTTTGATCGGTGGCCTCCCAGGAGGGCCCCAAGACCCCACCAAAAAGCTCCAAGATCCTCCCAAAGAGCCCCAAGATGGCTCCAAAAGGGCCTCCGATGTTCCGAGATGGCCCCCAAGATGGCTCAAGATAGCATGCGGTGGTTCAAAGTAGCTACCGGCACACCTCCAAGACGCCCGACTACGGCCACAAGACGGTTCCAAGTGCTGTCGGAACCGCCTCAGAAAACCCCCAAGCAATACAAATCCTACAGAAAACCTCGGAGCATCACTGATGTTTGACTCCTCGCCTTTTCGCTCCCCCCGATGCGCTCTTGAAGCCCCAAGCTGGCCCCAAGATGGCCCCGGAAAGGCCCGAGAAGGGCCGACGAGGCCCCCCAGACGGCCCCACGAGCGCCCAAGAGCGGCCCAAGAGGGCCCCAAGTTCCCAGTAGGCGATTCTGATGGCCCCACGGGGGGGGGTACCAAACTCTACATCCCCGTCTCCTTTCACCGACGCCCTGCACAATCGCCCCAAGAGACCCTCCAGGGCTCCCAACAGGGCCCCTAGAGGGCTGCAAGAGGGCCTCCGATGCTCCAAGATGGCCTCCAAGACGGTTCAAAATAACCGACAATGGTTCAAGATTACTTCCGGCATACCTCAAAGAGGCCCGACGAGGACCACAAGACGGTTCCACGTGCTCTCGGAGCTCCCCTTCAGGACCCCCCAGGAAACCACAAACCCTCACGAAACCTGAGGACAACTGATCATTTTGTACGCCTCGCCGTTTCCCTTCCGATGCGCTCTTGAGGCCTCAAGATGGCCCCAAGATAAACCAAGAAGCCCCCCAGACGGCCCCGCGCCCAAGAGCGGCCCAAGAGCGCCCGAGAGCGGCCCGAGATAGCCCCAAGGGGCCATTTTGACGGCCCCAAGGGCGCACCAAACGTTACGACCCCCTCCCTTTTCAGCGACGCCCTCTACGAGAGCCTGAAGAGGCCCTCCAGGGCTTCCAACAGGCCCCGAATAAAGCTCCAAGAGGGCACAAAGACCCCCCGAAAAAGCCCAACGAGGACCCCAATCTCACCCAAAAGAGTCCCAAGAGGGCTCCACGAACGGACTTTGACGGCTCTGTCCTCGTCGTCGTCCTCCTCCTCCTCATCCTCCTCGTCCTCTCCCCCATATCGTGTTCCTGTTCCTTTTCCTCCTCGTCCTCCTCGTCGTCGTGGTCGTCGTCACTTTCCTCCTCCTCCTCATCCTCCTCCTTCTCCGCCTCCTCCTCCTCCTCCTCCTCCTCATCCTCCTCCTTCCCTCGGTCCCACGCGGGCCCCAGGGATTGCCCGAAGAGGCCTTCCAAGCTCACAGAGATCTCTCTGTTCACCCTGGTTGCCCGCTCTGTTTCACTATGCGTCTCGTTGTCCCTTTTCGGTTAACTCTCATGGGCAGGGTTTCCGAATGTCGGCGGCGAGCGAGGGGGGAAGTGAGAAGGGGCGGGCCTTCTCAGAAGGCTCGGAAGTCCCCCGCCGCTCTGAGAAGGTTTCGAAGCCTTCCCCGGCGACACAGAAAACTTCTCAGAAGAGGCGAGGGTTTCTGAGAAGTCCCGCCGCCATCTGAGAAGGCCTTCTCCTTCTCACTTCCCCCCCTCGCTCGCTGCCGAGAACGGGCTGGTGGGGACACGCGAAAACACACAGGGCTCCCATGATTTACAAGCGAGACCTTCTGAATTTCGGAAAAGAGCTCTGTGTGGAAGTCCGCGGAAGGGGGGGGCAGGGACGAGAAACAGGGCCCTGGCCGTCTTCGGCCGCTCTCGGCCCCTCCGAGGCAGTCGAAAGACGGCTCGGGATGATGAACTGGCTCAGGGGAACAGCACCTAAACGAAATCCTGTACCTTCTTACTGCTGTGAACACCCCCCGCACCCTGACTTTAATAGATTGGCAGTCTGCGACGCGATGCATCGATCCGTCGACTGGTCGAGATCCTGCACCCCGGTGGCAGTGACAACCAACATTGAATCGGGGGTAGGGGGGCGCGTTGAAGTTCGCGCCGACACGCTGGTCGCGCGAGCGGTGCACTATTATGGCCTTCGACAGAAAGATTCGGGGGACCTGGTCAATGCGGGGGACACCGACCTGAAATCGGCGATGCGTTGCCAAGAGATCGGCGACAGGCTCCAGATACGGGATGCCCACGTTCTGGGGCGGGGTGGGCTATCAGCCCCGTCGCAATCATTGGACGATTGCGGATCGATGCGTCCCCGCCTGAGTCGACCCCATCTAATTAGGGCGACGAGATCTATCTCTCCCTGTCTTTCCCTCTCTTTCTCTCTCTCTCTCTCTCTCTCTCACCGCCACAGGCCAGGCCCATCCTGGGCCAAAGAGCGGTGTATACGCTTCCCTGGCTTGGCCAGTGGGGCATGTACACAAATCCCTGGGCCCAATTTTGGCCTGGCCAGAGCCGTTGTGCATGTGTAGATCTCTTCGCCCAACTAACGTGGCCCCTCAAGGGTCCGATTGGAGGCGGCCGGGGGGTCTGAACTGGCTGGGACCCCAGAAAATCTTCCCGGGGGGGGGGGGGCGAGGCCAAATTCAAAATCGGTCCACAGTGGCCCCCCAGGGCCCATCTGGTGCAGCTGCTCACCCCGGATCCGTTTGGCACGGTCCCGCCCGGAGGCCGGAAAGGGAAGAAACCTTCGCGAACTCACCGCCTCGAACCTGCCCGCCTGTCCCGCTGCCCAGAACCAGGGCTGGGTCACCTCCGACCCCCAGACGGCTCCGAGCCCAGGGCCCGCTTTTCCCTCGGGACCCCTCTGCTGCACGGCGAACAGGGGGCTCGGGGTGAGAGGGGCGGCCCCCCTGGCGTGCAACGTGTTTTGGCGTTTGTAGTCTTCTTGTTGGGACCTAAGCGCGCTAACAACAATGATGCCCAGCACGCCGACATGAAAACAGTCAAAAAAGACGCCCTGGGCACCTTTACGCAGAGCTAGAGCGAAGGGTGAGCAGCGGGCATTTTGCTGAGGCCTCCGAGGTGCCTCCAGGAACTCCCCCGATCCCTTCTTCGAACAATGTTTCCGGCAAGCGGCCGCGAGGGATCAAGCAGCGTGCGGGCAACGTCGGGGTGCACCGAGGCGGACTGGCGCACGAGGGGCCTGGGCAAGGCGCGCGCGGGGCGCGCGAGGGGGGACTGGAGGCGGGCCCAGGGGCCTGGTCCGAGCGGTCCTCGGGAACACGTCCCAGCTGAGGCAGCTCCTGGCGGCGGAGTTCCAGACCTCCACGAGGGGCGACGATGCAGCAGTGATGCGAGCCGCCTTCCAGGCGGGCAGGGCCCATGCTCAGAACGCAGCAGACCTGCGCGAGAAGCACCTGGCCGACCCGCGCCAGCCTCCACCACCAGAAGCGGTGATGGGCCCCGCCTGTGCGCAGATATCTCTCGTGGTACGTGCAGCAATCTCCAAAAGGAGGGGGGGCAGGGTCGGGGCCGGGAACAAGCAGACGTGGGAGGGCCACGAGGCACGTCTGGACGCCAGCACGGACCAGGAGGAGCTCACGGTGATGGTCAGAGGCTACCGTGTGAGCTCAGCGTGCAAGGAAGGGACGGCCGAGCTGATCGTCTCCCTGAGCGACGCGCAGCTGCAGAAGAGCTGTCGCTCGAACGTCCAGTCCCCGTGCGTTGCTTGGTTTCGGGCGTAAGCCCTTTTTTTCTCAAGAGGGTCCGGGGTGCTCCGAGATGGTCCAGATCTGTTTCTGGCGCTGGCCCCGAGAAGAAAATCACATACGCCCGAGCGATCCCAATGCTTTCTTCTGGACGGAAAGCATGGACATTATGGGAGGGGAGCGAGGGGGGGAAGTGAGAAGGAGAAGGCCGTCTCAGGCGGCGGGCCTTCGCAGAAGCCCTCGCGCCCTCTGCGCAGTTCTCTGCGTCTTCGGGGAAGGCCTAGGAAACTTCTCAGAAGGCCGGGGGGCGTCCGAGCCTTCTGAGAAGGCCGCCTCCTTCTCGCTTCCCCCCCCCCCCTCCCCGGGGCTCGTCGCCGACATCAGCCTGCGGAGATCCGCGCTCAGGCCTGCGTTGCCCCCCCCCCCCCCCCCGCCCCCTCTGCGCGCCGCGCCAGGGGCGGCGCCAGAGGCGCCGCCAGAGGGGGGAAGCCCAACGCCGACCCAAGAAAACCGCGCGAACCTCGGACCTCTTCCTTCGGCGTCCTCGCCGTTGCCTCCCTTTCCTCTCGCTCGTCCCGCTCCGTAGAGGGCTTGCCGCTCACCTTCCCCCCGCCGGCAAAAAAGCGACCGCTGGACAAGAGTGGCCTTTGGTGCGCGGCTTGAGGCGGGGGGGGGGGCTGGAGGGCCAACCAAAACCAATCGCACAACCCGCTGTTATCGCATCGTTCTTCGAGGTCGGGGAGACCACGGTAGTCCCGCACCAAAGGTCACTCCGCCGAGGCATCGGCGACGCGTCGACGACAGCGGCGATGCAGCGACGCCGCTGATATACAGTGCGAGCGCGGCCGCGAGAAACCCTCGCAAGAAATCCATCCTGAAAACCCGCGGGCGAGAAGCATATGAGGGGAAACCCGGATCACCCTGAACGCAGCAGCTTCTTCGACGGCCGCGGGAAGTCACCGCGCAGGGCGCGGAGCGAAACAACCCATGATACAACTGCCGAAAATCAGTTGCTTTCTTGATGCGCACCTCCACTGTAGTGAGCCTTACTCCCCCCCTGACGTTGCCCACGATGGGGCCATGCAGAGGGGGGGGGGGCTGCCCGCGCGGCCTCCTCGTGCAGGCGCCGCCACCCGTCGCTCTGCCTGCGAGCGGCGCGGCGCGGGTCGTCGTCGTCGTCGTCGTCGTCGTCGTCGTCGTCGTCGTCGTCGTCGTCGTCGTCGTCGTCGTCGCCCTCGCCCTCGCCGTCGCCCTCGCCCTCGCCGTGGCCGTCGCCGTCGCCGTCGCCGTCGTCGTCGTCGCCGCCGCCGCCGCATTCATCGGTCGGTCGTCGTCGTCGGACGTCGTCACCGTCGTCGAAGATCGTCGTCGCCGTCGCTGCCGCCGCTATCGTCATTGTCAGACATCGCCGAACGTCGTCGTCGTCGTCGTCGGGTGAGGAAGAGGAGGAGGACGACGGCGGCGACCCGTATCCTAGAGTCGAAAGGGCCGCAAAGTTGGGGCACCACCCCTGGGATAGACGAGAGGGGGGCGTGCGACCTCGAGAAGAGGGTGCGTCCGAACAGCCCCGTTGGGCTGCATCCCAGGGCTTCCCCTTTTTTTTCTGAGCGGCCAAAAACGTTTTGAGCGGCGGAGCTCGGGGTTTGGAGGAGAATCGCCTGCGAGCGGGAGCGGCACCGCAAGGCTGCGAGACGCGCGGGGCGGCAGAACGCGCGGCGCCGCTGTCGCCAAGCGAGCCAGCAACCAGCGGATTGTTCTGCTGTTGGTGTTGTGCTGGGTCCACGCCAGCTGCGCGTGGCGGGCAAGGAGAGAATGCAACCCCTAAATGGGCTACGATCGAAGACGAGGAGGGCGGGTACCGTGTTGAGCGACACGCGAGGAGCGAAGAACGAATCGCATCTCAATGATTAGCTGTGTTTGCGGCTGTTGTTTCGTGTGCTTTTTGCTTGTTAGATTCCACACTCTTTCGGCCCCCCCCCAAGGGTTGTTCTCTGGGCCCCAGGACCATCCAAAACGCATGTGCGGTGTCGGGAAACTAGTGTCTGCTACTCGAGCAAAGAGAACATATGATGTAATGGGGTTCCTGCTGTCATGGCAGGCCGCGTGGCCACTTTCCACCGGCGGCCGATTGTCACACGTCTGCGCGGGACAGCATTGCTCACGAGCTTCGGCTGGGTGGGCGTGGTGACAGGCTGGAAACCTAAAGAACCGCTGGTCTCCCCAAGCCTCATTCTGGCGGTCGGTTCCTGCCTCTGCCGCAGAATTACCCTGCGCCCAGAGATGTCATCCTCTGCCGACCTTTCGATGAGGCAAAAACGCACGCGTGGCCAAGTGTGGTCAGCGGCCCCGGGAAAAATCGCATGGCGGTCGAGAGCCTACCTGGACACCGAAAACAACGCTGAGTGTGCACAAGAAGAGACGCAGAAAAGCAGGGGAGGCGGCGGCCGTGGAGGAAGGAAAAAACGGGCTAGACTCAGAACGTGAAGTTCTTCGATTGCAGTGCGTCGGCCGGGACCTCAGGCTCCACGTGGAGTCCGGAGAAGGTGCCGCGGGCAGCAGATCTAAGGCATCCCAGAGCTGCAGAGCGCAGGGGCCGTGCAAACCTGCCGAGGGCGCAAGCCTAGGATGGTCAGCTGACCAGAGCCACGAGGAAGGGAGCGGCGCGCAGAGAGGCGCCGCGGGTTGCGGAATGCACCGCGAGGGGCTGCGTGCCGGGCGTGCAAGAGCAAGAGCACGAAATCCAGGCGTGGCTCCAGGACGTCCGTGGGGAGTGGGTCGAGAGCCCGCTGCCCGCAGAAGCCAGGGAGGAGGAGACGTGCCAAGAAAGTGCCAGCGGCACGAGGAGCTCGAAGGCTGCGTCGGTGGAGTGGTCTACCAAAACCGAGATCCGAGCTCCTGCACGACGATGCCAGGAAAAGAAGCCAAGATTTGTCGCCACACGCGTACACGCATGCCCGTGCACGCATTGCGTGTACGAGGTCGTGCGGCTGTGCCAGGCTCTCGCTGGGGCTGCCAGTGCGTTGCACATGCGCACAGCATATGGGTTGATCGTCTTGACAATATCCCTGCTCGACTTTTCACCCTTAGCTGTATCCCACTGGTGCGTCGGAGGACGGAGGGATAATCTGCGCGTGGTTGTCTTTGCCTCATCGCCGTTGTGTCTTTGTGTATGGTTGTGTTTTTTTCTCGCTGCCGTTCGCCTGGCTTCTTGCCTGGGCTTGTCTCCACGAGCTGCGGATGTTTTCCCTTTTAAGCTCCGCGGTTCCTACACCCCTCCCCCCCATCTCCTCCTCCTCCTCCTCCTCCTTCGCCTCCTCCTTCGCCTCCTCCTCCTCCTCCTCCTCCTCCGCCTCCTCCTCCTCCTCCCTCTCCTCCCTCTCCTCCGCCTCCTCCTCCTCCTCCTCCTCCTCCTCCCTCCACCACCCCGTCGCCGCGGGGACGAACGCTCTGACTAGCATCATGCCGCGCTGAGCCAACCACAACTAGGCAAGATACTATCGGCCATCAATCGCTTCAGCAAATCGCATTATCTGCCTCGCATTGTGCTGCGCTGATCCAGCAGCGGCTCGGTACGATACCGGCCGTCAGCTGCCACATGCTGCAGCAGCGCGTGCACCCCCGCGGGGCGAAAGCTCCGCGCGAAGCATCCCGAGAGTGGGAGACATGTTCAGACGGCCCGGGAAGCACTGAAGGGAACTGCGCGGAACGTGACACTCCTGAGAGGTCCTCGTCCTGCGCATCGTTCTTATCACGACCCCTCCAGTCGTTGTCGTGTCCGAGCAGGGAGGCCTTCCGCTCATGTCATCTCGTGCTGTCGAGAAGTATGTGATCTTGTGGCGTTTCAAAATAAACGGCGGTCAATCCACCAAGTCGACTCGTGCCACCCTCTGGCGCCTCCTTCTTAAGACGACAAGCGCAACCTTCTCTTTTGCTTTCCACTGAGGGGCACCCATCATCTGTCTTCGCGCGCTTCGAGGGGGACCAGTTCACTGATCTGCATCCACCTTCTGATTGGCCTTGCTGCCCAAGCGCCAATCGAATTCGTCCACGAGTTGCTGGCCAGCGACGAGCGAAAGATCAGCATAGCTAGAAGGTGGAACTACGGCCTCTATCACTCACTAGTGTGACGCTACGTAACCACCACACTTGGTGATACCTGACGCCCCTGCCCCTGCGATGATCTGAGCAAGCATGGCTACGTCATTGGAACTGCAGCTCGCCAAATACTTTCTGGGGAGCTGGCGCGTAGGCATGGGCCATCTGACTGTACACGCAGAGCAGGTGCAAGAGGGCAGGGCCACACCCTAGCTGTCGCCAGGGGAGTGGGCCCACAAGCATCGGGCAGGGCAGCCCTCCGTCGCCCACGTGGAGCCGATGGGTTGTCGACGTGCTGGAAGGCGGCGACTGCCTCAGCCTCACCCCCGAGACAGTGCGCAGGGGAGGACTCGGGGCGCCAGGTCACCCCAAGAAAGCATCCCCTCTACGCGTGGAGCGGATGCCGGCCCCCGCCCCCAGCCGGCAAAATAAGGCCCCGGGATCGCTCGGGCCTCCTCTTCCGTTACGCAATGGCCAACGGGAAGATGGCGACGCTCGTTGTCCATGGACCACGGGTCTCTGCTGACGTCGCGGCCTGCCGGGCGGCCCCTGGGGAAAGGCTCCATGGTACGTTAGGCCCCCTCCGTACTCGGCACTCCTAGTCACATGACGAACCTATGATCGTCACGACTCCTGCTGCGTCCAGTGGTGGCGCCATCACAAATAGCCTGAGGCAGATGGACGCGCATCGGACCAAGGGCACCCGGACACCAGACGCGAGGAGAATGGCCCCTAAAAGGCGATTCTGGATCCCTCTCCCTCCTTCTCCTTCTACGACTGAGTTGCTCCTCCTCCTCCTCCTCCTCCTCCGCCTCCTCCTCCTCCTCCAGCGTTCGAGTCACAGGGCGCCAGCCACACGCGCGCGAGAACGCCAAATTCGACCTCCGCGGCGCTCGGACAGGCGGAAGCGGGGATCACGCAGCTTTCTGGCCCCTGCAGCGCCCAACGACTTACCCAGATCGGCACGCTCCGCCAAGCCGACGACCACGGCGTCTACAATAAACTGGAAAAACTGGATACGATGCCGATGCCCCGACATCAACATGCTGTCCAAATCTGACAACAGCCGCTGTTGGGCAGGCAACCTTCCGTCACTAATGGGCAAGCTCCGAGGCGACACCGACAGCGGGGGGTGTTCAAAATGAACAGAACATGCTGTCGGTCTTCGTACCCATTCTGTCTACCCATTCCGATCGTACCGTCGCAATTATCCAGGCGAGAAGCCGAACAATATGCAGTTGTGGATACCGCGTTGTGGGTACCGCTTTCGGTGGTGCTCCCTATGGGGGCCACGATCCTCGTGAGGGGTGTGCCCAAATGGGCGGGGGGACGCGTGCGGACCCTGCCGCTGGGGTCCTCGGTGGAGCTCCCTATGGGGGCCACGAGACGTGTGAGGGGTGTGTCGAAACAGAGACACGCGGAGGGCACAGGCGCCGTGGTAGGAGAGAGGAGGGGAGGGAGGAAGGAGGGAGTGGACGCCGGGTGCTCTCTTCGCAAAAACGAGGACCCAACACCACAGGATGGCAGGGAAAAGAGGAAATCCATCGGGGCACGCCTGCCGGCGTCCGCACCCACCCCGCGCCTAGCCTGGCCCACGCCAGGCCGCGCCTGGGAAGGATGCGCACCCCGAGCTTTGCCGATAAGCCGCCCCCCGCACTCCGGACGGACGAAGGGGCGGGAAGCAACGGGGGGGTAGGGGAATCCTCTCAGGTAGCTGATCTTTCCGGCGCCGCCCGACGCCAAAGGCGCCAATGCATCGAGGAAGGCGACCGGCGGCGGAGCCGAAACCAGCTGCATGCGGCAAATGTCCGAGACACCCGCCCCCCCCTTTCTGTGGGCAAGGTCTGTATCCACATCCGCTGCGTCTTGGAGTTCCCCCGGAAGGCAGAGGCACAGTGGCCAAATCTGGCCTCCGGAGGCTAGGTTTGTATCTATGTCCTGTGCGGAGAGTTCGTCCTAATGGTGAAATCAGACACCACGCAAAAACACCAAGCAAATACACCACGCAAAAAAACTACGCAAAAACACCACGCGAACGCTGGAGGGTGAATTAGACATCACGCAAATACACCACGCAAAAACACCACGCAAAAACACCACGTAGCGGTTTTGCGTGGTGTTTTTGCGTGGTGTGTTTGCGTGGTGTTTTTGTGCGCCGCTGGGGCGGCGCGGGGACGCAGTGGGGCAGGTCGCGGTTCACGTGGTGTGTTTTTGCGTGGTGTTTTTGCGTGGTGTATTTGCGTAGTGTATTTGTGCGCCGCTGGGGCGGCGCGGGGACGCAGTGGGGCAGGTCGCGGTTCACGCGGCGTGTTTTTTTGTTCTGCGTGGTGTTTTTGCGTGGTGTATTTGCGTGGTGTTTTTGTGCGCCGCTGGGGCGGCGCGGGAACGCAGTGGGGAAGGTCGCGGTTCACGTGGTGCTTTTGCGTGGTGTTTTTGCGTGGTGTTTTTCTGCGCCTCGGCCTTTTGGCGCCCCCTCCCAAAAAGTCCGGGACGCCATGGGGATATGGGTATCGAACCTTGCCCGCGCGATCCCCCCCCCTTGTCGTCCGACCCGACGCGCTCCCCAGCCCGACCGCCCGGCCCTCCCCCCCCCCCCCACCCCACGCGCACCGAGCCCGGCCCCCGCGGTCGGGAACTCGTGCGCAACACTTCGCGGCGGCGGCCCCTTCTGAGCCGATGGCGTGTCGCTCCGCGCCGCGGGCCGGGCGGTCTCGGAAAGCTCGGGCCGTTGACGCCTAGGGACTGGGACCCGGATAGCGTGCCGCGCTGCAGCGCGGGGGGCCAGAGCCGGCAAAGCGACACGCTAAGACAAAAAGTTCCTGACCGAAGCTAAGGGCCTCCCAGATGGGATCCGAGAAGATAGGCTCGGAGGATCGCGCTCGGCGATGCATCGAGCACGGACGATGCATCGGCGATGCATCGGCGACGCAGGCGGTGCATCGGCGACGCCAGAGTGGAGAACATCGGGCACTGCACATCGAGACGCACCGCCGCTGCATCGGCGACGGGGCGCGATCATCAGGCACCATCTATGTACATCGAATCCGTCTGGGAGGCCTAGAGAAGAGCATACCAACGCCCCCGCACTCCGCGAAGGACGGCCCATCGTCCCCCCCCCCACACGCCCCACAAAGTCACCACCGCCAGGAGCAGCCCAGGAGGGCCATATGTAAGGGGCGTGGCCACCCTGTTCTGCGGCACCCCGCTCGAGGCAGCTCCACTACGTATCCAACTCTGATCCTTCCGGAGGAAAGCCCACATCTGCTCAAAATCGGTCCGCGGACGTCTCCCAGGCCCTTTCCTGACCCGGAGGAGGACGAGGAGGAGGAGGAGGAGGAGCAGGAGGAGGAGGAGGAGGAGCAGGAAGAGGAAGGAGGAGAAGGGAGGAGAAGGGAGGAGCGAGGAGGAAGAGGCTGAACGAGGAGGAGGAGGAGGAGGAGGAGGAGGAGGAGGAGGGGGATGGGGGAGGAGGAGGAGGAGAAGGAGGAGGAGGAGGAGGAGGAGGAGGAGGTGGAGGAGGAGGAGGAGGAGAGTGGACGAGGAGGGAGGGAGAAGGAGGGCGGCCAGCCGCAGGCGGCGCGGCCTGTTGAACTCCCCGAGGGCGGCCAGCCGCAGCACCTGCCAGGGGCGGCATTTTTTGCGTTCTGCTGGCCTGCCGCCGCGCCTCGGGCTTGGCGCGGCCCGAGCCGCTGCTGCCAGCCAGGTTGGCGAGGGCGAGGACGAGGGTGGGGGGCAAGCGGGGTGCGCACGCGCCTCCTCTGACTCGTCCATCCCTCCCTGTCATCCCTTTCCATGGCGCTGAGTGTTTCTCTAAACGCGGACGCGTGTCATGGCCAACCTGCAGCTCCAGCCAAACGACGGGCTGCGTGCACAGGAGGAGGAGAAGGTGGTGGGTCAGCAAGAGGATGAGCGGGAGAGGCGGAAGTGGTGCATGAGGAGGGGGGGTGTGGGGAGGGGGGAGTGTGAGGAGGACCAGCGTGAACTCAAGACGCATCAACAATGATAGCAACAAGCCCCCCTCTAAATTCCCTCGTCATGGGCCCCTACGAGAAAATCGATGCGGGAAGTGCGCTGTTAGAAGACAACCGTCTGAACATCCCGAACGGTGCCACCACACCTATCCTGGGACATTATCGCCGCGAGTCAACGTTATTATTGCGTCCTGACGATCCTGAATCGCACCAGAACGCGATTCCTGGGACTTCAACACAGCGAATCAACATTACGGTTGCGCCCTGACAACCCTAAATCATGCCTGAGCACAGTTTCTGGAACGTCAGCCATCCTTGAAAATATGTGCGTGGCGCTAGAGCGAGAAACGGCCCGCGCTCCACAACGTTTAAAACGATTGTGCGCAGCGCCAAGGCGAGAACTATATCTTAAGAGCCAACCGCCCTCCATCCGTGAAATTCTGAACAACTTGAAGACGAATGTGCGCGGCGCAAGGCGAGAACCACAGTTCGAACGCAGCCCGCACTCCATCCGCGAAGCCGTTGCAGTTGCCAAGCTTCAGGATCATACGTGGCGAGGAAGTCTCAGGCGAAACGCCCGGCCCGCCATACCGAAACGTCCCGGGGTGCGACGGGGAGGAGTTATCTACAAGGGAAAAGGATGGATAAGGAGCGGGTGGGGGAGGGGGAGGAGAACATCTTCGGAGGAGGAGCATGCTGGGATGAGGGTGGGGAGGGGGAGGGGGGCAGGAGCATGAAGAGAGGAGGCGGACGACGACGACGACGAACACCTGAAGGAGCAACGCCCGTGTCCACGGAGCGAGAGGGCCTTCGGGAGGAGGACGCGGGCGAAGATGGCGAGGAGGGGGGGCCAGGGTTAGGTCGGGCGTGTCCTTCTACAGGCGGATGCTGGAACAAAACGAAGAGAAGTGGTCAAAACAGGCACGAAGCATCGTCCCCGGACGATCGTTGCACCGTTCTTGAACTGTTCCTCCTGCACAAGGGCACGCCCGACTTATCTTAAGGCCAGGGCCCTCGCACCCTCGGCCGCCACGCTGCGGCTTCGCCGGCAAAACTCGACTTCCGCAGCGGCCGCGCCGAGCCCGCGCTTGGGCGCGCACGAGCGAAGGACCCCAGCCCCGAAGGTGCGCAGCGCAGCCCACGAAGGGCCCGCCGCGCCGGCGCGACCCGCCGCTCGGACCCAGCGGCCCCGACTCGGGTGCTCGCTCTCGCGCGCGCGACTCCTGCCTCTGTTCGGCTACACGCAAGGAGTGGCCATGGGCATGAGTGATCGTTGGTGCGCGGCGCACAGGCAGGAGTGACCTTTTTTGGTGAGCGGCGCAACGGGGGGCGCGGGGGTGCCAAACCCGAGCGCGGGAGCCGCTGCTGTCGCATCGCGTTCAGCCATCTGGGGACCCCGATGTGTGCCCGCACCAGAGGCCACTCCCGCGAAAGGTCTCTCCTACGTGTATAGCCGATACGTGCGCCCCGCGAGCTCCGAGCCCGAGGCCTCGAGCCTCTCGAGCTTCGAGCCCGCGGCCTCGAGCCTCAAACCTCGAAGCCTCGAAGCCTCGCAGAAGACCCCCCCCAGGAGCTCGAGGCCTTCCGCCCTGCGCGGCGAGCCTCGGCGCCATGCTCGGCGAGCGCCGCGAACCCGGACCTCGGACCCTCGCCTGCCCGCCGCGCCTCTGGCGATCGAGGAACAGACCACGGCGTAACGATGCCCGTCGGCCGGAAGAAGCAGGTCATGAACCCGGCGGGACCCCCTATGAGGGAAACTTTCCTATTGCACGGGCGCACTGCACGACATTACTTGGCATTGCCTGGCGCTGCTTGGCATACCCCCCAGGGACCCCCCGGGGAACCCGGGGGTTCCCCGGGGGCCCTCTCAGAGAGCAACAAGACACAGCAAAAGCAGATCGATTCTTGAGGTAGGGAGGCGCTTGAAGTAGACTGGGTTCTGGGAATCCCAAAATACCTGCTTTCAACGACCAACGGGTAAGTTGTAGGAGGTCCGTGCTGGTTTATCAGATCGGCGCGGGGGGCCCCTGGCGTTTATGTTTATTGACTACCTACCAGAGCAGCCCAACCCAACACGAAGACCCAAATTTCGGGTTGGCGGGGTGCGGGGTCCATATGTGTGTTTCTCAATGCCCCCCCGACGCCCCCCCCCGCTAGGAATGGAGGGAAAATTGGGGCATCCGGGTTGGGCTGGGGTGGCTTGGTGAATTGCGGCTTTCTGTTGAATCACGCAGACTCCATCGGCAAGCTCGCACTGCGACGGCGTGACAGCGACCTGGCCTCTGGCAGCCCGCGCGGGTCGCTCGCCTCCACGGAGCGATGGCGGCCCTCCGATCGCGCAAGGAGGCCGCTCGGTATGGGCCGATGCCGGGCCACTGGCGGCATGCGACCCATGAATGGGGAAACCAACGGGTACCGATACCGCTACTCCCCGGACCTCTCCCTGGGTGCGCTCTGACCAGAATTTCGACGTCAATCCAGCGGTGGCGACGAGGGACCCCCAGGAGGCCCAGAGAGGCGAACACGAGGCAATGGCACTGGCATCGGCACCCTTGCCTCCTCTGAGTGAACGCCCGCGCGGGGGTCGCGGCAGCGTCAGAGCGGGGTCGCACGAGATGTGAGAGCGGGCGCCCTCGCGGGGGGCTGACCACCTGCAGGTCCGCTCCCCACGCAGCGCGGGCCCCTGCGCGCCCAGCGGCTCCGAGAGCTGAGGACCGACGACTTCGCCTCGACTGCGGCGGTTCTGCCTGCACGATCGCTGGGGACACCCAGGGGAGGCACCCCCCTGGAGGCGAGGAGGCGCCCCGAGATCTTCCGAGGTATCGCGAAGAAGCTACCGAGAGGCTCCTGGACGATGCCCGAGAAGGGGCTACAGAGGTGGCTCCCCAGGCGCCCCAGAAATGGCCCCCCGGGAGCCTCGCACACGGCCCGACAGGCCCTAAGAGACCGTCTGGATGGGAAGACACACAGGGGAGGTGTCTGTGACACATCTAGGCGCTCCCCTTTGCACCAAGCCTGCATGTCTGATCGATGAGCGGCTGCGCCTTGACAGCAGAAGAAATCAGAACAATCTGAGACTGTAGCGAGGATAATGCTTTTGCGCGGCACCTTCTGCTACCGCATGCATATGGCCACTGCTCATGGCGAGTGCTATGAATGTGGGGGGGGGGATAGGTATCGCAGCGCTCATCGATGTCGACGGCACAACTGAGCAGTATATGCAGCGTCACCTGCAAATATCATGTGAGGCAATGGCAGCGCCCCTGCTTCACAGCAGAAGATGCAGCACTGTAACCCTGGATGGCGCAACGGTGGTACTTGTCACATGCAAAATGGCAATGGCATGTAGACGTGAAGCCGTGCTCGCCAACAGAGGTCGCTACCGCGCACCTTTTCGTGTTCGGCTAAGGCGGCTCATCAGTTGAATCCACCCTCCATCCGCCGCTGCCGACTACATAGCCAGCAAAGGGAGCTACCGAGCACGGAGATCTGGGACGCAATGCAGGAGGGGGCGACGCCACGCAAGGCGGCTTCTTATCACGTTCGCAAACACACCAACCATCCAAGCAACGTGTAGCCTTCAGCCGTCTATTACGATGCTTGCCGAGCTCCGCAGTCTTTAACAGAAGGGGCTACTTCTCTCCCATCTCCACGCCGCAACACTTCACCTGGCAACATGACGTGGGGGGAAACCCTGCCCAACCAGGGTGAGAAGGACGAGTCACTGAAGACACATTCGCGCTGGGCCCAGCCTCAGATTTGTGGGTTTGGGGGCCCTTGGGGCCATCTCAAGGCTCCTCTGGGCCTCTGTCAGAACTCCGTCCGCTGGCCCCCCTCACCCGCAAGTGGCCCCCCAAGACTGCCCAAGAGGCGCTCGCGAGGCCTCCAAGACTGCCAAGGACACACCCATGATAGCCTCCCTGGCCGCCTTATAGCCCCCGTAGGTGTCCAAGGAGGCCCCCTCGGGCCCTCAAAAAGCCATGGAGGCCCGCCGTACGCTCCCGATGGACTCACAACGAGGCGCCGCAACCCCATGCTGTAGAATCCGCCCCCAGGCTGGCAGAGAAAGCGCTCCGACGTTCACTGACGGCGCACCTCTTTCGTTCCCAAGAGGCCCCGAAGCGAGTCCTGAGAGACGCCGAAGACGGTCGCCACGCAACTTTCTTCATGGCGTGGCCCTCACTCCTGATTCCCCGTTCCCCAGGAGGAGGAGGAGGAGGAGGAGGAGG